TGGACATCAATAAGCCGTTGACCGTTCCGACGTATCCCCGTAAACAAGATCCATAGAATACATCAGGATACTCCTTGTGAAATCTAAGAGCATATTTACAATCCGCGCGCTTCACGTTACATGCACAGATAACGTATTACCCTGCTCCATTCCGTGTATTATATCGGCGTTTCGACTCTCTCTCTTTCTCTAGTCAAAGCGTGATACCTCTTAATTACAGCGACCCACGTGACCCATGACCCAAACTCCCGTCCCACGACTTGTACGATGTGCCCACGCGTACGCTTCCTCGACCGACTCCGAAGAGGTCCTCGGGACGCGTCGCGCATGGTCCCTGATCTAAACGCACCGAAACCATAAGTCGAAAGGTCAGCTGTAGTGGTTCAGTATGGGAGCTTGTACGTGTGTGTGATCGAATGATACCTAGGTAGTAATTGTGCAAATTGGCACTGTAGATGCTTTCGTGTCTGCCGGCTGCTCGTTTCGCGGATTATATCGGGTGTCACGTTCAAAGAAATTCTTTATCCAATATAAAGAACAGTAATTTCATTTTAAAATATTGCGTTTTACAGGTGAACCATTCTACTGTTTTAATGTTTCATTTATTGTGTTTTATTTGTTAAAGTTTATGAATTTTATTTTAGAAAATGTTACAATAATTGTGGATTTAATCAAAACTATTGATCGCTAATTTTAACAACCTCACAAGTTGCGTACATCAATTTTTTTAAATCACAGAATTTCTGTTTCTTTCATGACTGTTTAAATAAATTAAAATACAAGACATCAGTTGCGCCGTGTTCAAATGGTTCACCCGTGTAACATCAACGTCCGCGTGTAGGTAGTGTCGCGAGTTATCTGCGTCGCGTGTGCAACAGATGCGCCAGGCACGCGAAGCGCATACCTCCATGGGACATATGCGGGTCGCGAACTACGAACCTTCGTGAGACTCACGAGACCTAAGACACGATAGCAGAAATATTTGGCAAGTCCTCTAAATTCCAAAACGAACCGTGCATTTTGTTAGTTTGTTTATGTCGTGTCAATTAATTTTATTACACATATCGCACGTTACGTTAATTTATGAAAAAGTGCAATGATGAGTTATATGGAAAAAAATTCACTATTTCGAATATATCCATAAAACAAGCTACAATTCTAAAAATGCATTCGTTTCTAAGTCTGGACTCAAAAGAACATTTTGTGTGAATTAGTGTACATTGTCGCGAATGCAAATTAATCGTAGTTGTCTCTTCAACAGAAAATAAGCTCTCGTGAAGATGCTTCGAATAAGTGTACAGGCAGCTTCGAATGCCGGTCGCTATTGTGCTTCGCATTCGAGACCTCCGGCGTCGAAAGAATTGCTATGAGAGCAGGGACGCAGCATCCAGAATAACGAAACGAATAAAACAAGATAAACAAAGTTTATTGTGTCTAAAAACGTGACAGCAATGTTTCTAGCATGCTAATAATTTTTTGTATTTATAATGTGTAATAATTGTAGCAATAATTTTATTGTACTCTTTGAAATCTCTTAACAATTTCATATAATTTCTTAATTTGCGATTGTTATAATATTTTGCAATCTATTGTAATTTGTTTTTGTGTTCTCTACTTGAATAATCAACGAAAGTTAGCCGTTATCATAAATTTTTTCCACATGATAGTCTCCGATTGACGATAACTCTTTCTCTTTCTGTCCTTCTCTGCTCTTTTTTTTATTGCTTTTCTCTTTTTCCCCTACTTGCTCGTCCGCGCTTCCGAAAACTATTCAAAGGTCGCTTGGAGCGGTTCCAAAATTCCGAATCGCATGGGACGACATCGCGGCGATTCCTGCAGCGATTCGGGCTTAAGTGAATTCGGAGTGAGCCGTAAAGCGAGGCTAAATAAACTTTGGCCACAAACGTATCTCGTATTCGGCCGCGTCTGATTTAAGGAAGCAATAACTGCGCGATCATTGCGCCTGAGCTAATTTACTGACCGGATTCGATTTCGCGCCTCACAAAAATTTTCGCACTGTGTTTCTAATAACAATTCGCATATAAAATGGGATACTTTAAATCGATTTACTCAACGCGCAAATAATCGATTCTGAAATTTTATTTTACTCTTACATTATTTCTACTAATTCTATTGTAATTATTTTAATTGCAATTGTCTTTATAAAAAATGCATTTATATAATTTAATATAATTATATAATTGTATAATTGTTTAATTAATACATTTTATATAATATGCAATTACATTTAAAAAAAAAATTAACATTTAAGATTCTTTATTATTTTTTAGCTCTATTATACTTATTATATTTTTTATCATAATTTTAAAATTATTTTTTTAGTTTTATTAGATATTTAAAATTAATCTCATCTTTTATGAAAAGTTTGGTGAACATTTTTAAGAACAAACCATTAAAGTTTTTTTGCTTAAATAAATGTATAATCGCGAAGTAAGAAAAAAGAAAACAATTCGAGATTTAATGGATCAAACGTCGTTCGATGAACGACACGGGTTCACGTGGAGAGCAAAAGTGACTAACATCGGCGGTTTATTTACGTGCGCGGAATTTACGATCACCGCGAAAAAATCTGACATCTTATTCCTTCTTTCCGACGCCGACATCGCGATGGCAACGACGACGGAGGGCGTCGCAGGAGGGAGGCACCACGTCTGCGTTCTTGCACGCCTTCACATTGTCTGCTTACCGACGCAGGCGCGCGATGCACGCATGAATTTGCGTTCGACAATGTGCAATTATTGCAGACAGATAACCGGGGCTGCTTTACATGATTATTAGACGTGCGAAGTGGACGCGAACGAACGGGTAAATATAAGAGAGAAAACCGGCGGGGATAAGACCGCCAGAGAGGGAAGAAAGAGAGTGAAGTGCTCGTCGCTAACTCGAAGAGTTCAGCGAGCGGGCAATTACCTGGGAAACATAATTTACGGAAGATTGCCATAACAGACGAATACAAGCGCTCGTGAAACAAGCGAACTTGTTACATGCCATATTTCCACCTCATTTCACTTGTACGCCCTTAACCCTTAATTCATTTTTCTAAGTGGTGTATAATTACCAAGAAACATAGTATTATTCTATATTTTATTTTTCCCGCGATTACGTTTAATTAACGTGTGTGATAGCCGTGTATTCATTGAACGCAATTTCTACTCCACTCTGTTAATAATTAATTAATCATCTACGCCATAATGTGCAATGCACCTGTGATTCTGTTTATCAGGGAGGTGAAAAGAAACTTCTTGATTGACCATTGATGAAGTAGATATTAAAAATTCATCATTAATTTATGTTTTTACGACTAATCATCCAACTAATTTGCATGCTATTTATTCACGATCGACAATTTTACTTTTACTTTAAGCACAAAATAAATTTGAGTAATAATTATAAGCTTTGTATTTTCCTATAAAAATAAGATCTAACTGCATTCATGTGCTGCGATATTACGTGAATAAATTTCGACAATGTTCGCAGAAGATCACTTTCGTGACGGTAGGCTTGTTATGTATTTACCGACATGCATTAAATCATGTAAAATAACTGGACCTTGCTATGCGCAATTGCGGATCCACAATTAAATTCCCGAAACGAACGGTCGAACGGAAGAGCATTTGATAAGCAGCCGGAAGTTGGTCGCGGGCAAACACCCAGCTTTCCTCTCGCTTCTGATAGCAGCGACAGCTGGTCGGCATGCGCTACCGGTCGATTTGTTCTCCACAAAATTGCCACGAATAAATATTCGCAAATAAATATTCGCAATCGACTTTCCATAATTAAGCTATATTCGAAATTGTGATTGAAACGAAAATATGCCAAATGTTATTGACATTAACTAAATTTAGGATTATCTTTCAAACAGAATATTATCAATTGATAATTTATGCTCTATTTTCAAATAGCTTATAAGAATATTATTTTTTAATTGAAATAAAAAGTTTTAATAATTTATATCGCACTCACGACATCGAAATAATCAGCTATATACATTTGCAAAACATACTGTATATATTTTGCTCATTGTACTATTAATGATTACATAAAGGAGCATGATAGATGGCCCTAATGTTCTGGAAAGATACCATTCAGTTGTTTGGTCAGCGCAATTGATAGACCGAATTTATGGTCAATCATTGACATCGAGTGGATAGGGCAATTATATATCGAATCACTGCGCGTTGTGTGTAGAGTATAAAACAGGGTCGATGACTATCCATTGGAGCGCTAAAGAGAAGATGGAATATTTCGTTATTAAAGTGCGGAGATTCACACCATATAAAAATTCAGTTTTGATTCACGACGATTTTCGTATTTCTAATGCGGCTAATCATCCTGTCGCACGTTGCACGGCATATCGCACGCGCTGACGTAAGCGACGGTGGCATCATCACGGACTGCTAATCATCGAGGTCGATTTGATCCTCTGCCCAGCACAGGATCACGAGCTGGATCCGGTCATCGGTGGAAAAGGAAACCCGCTATCGACAATCGTGGCCCCGGCGCAGCGGCCGTCTCGTTTTACGCATGTAAATTCATCCGGACGTGACGTGGCAGGTGGCGAGTCTCGCGGCTGTATGAAAGCTAAGGCCAGTTCTACTAATCGACGTCCATTAAGTCGACACGATGCGCGCACGCCGCGGGATAGCTTTCGGTTTCGCGATTTCCGATTTCCTTCGCTTGTCGATAACGAAGCCGCGATTCGCAAGCGGCCGAGCAAATTACACGGATACGGTGTATACGCGCGATGCACACATTGCGTGTACATTTGCACTTATGGTATGCGAGTGAATATACATACAGATGCGCAATGCTTAATGTGTAATTGAGACAATCGGTGAGTAACTTGACGTAATAACCCCGTTATTCGTGTTTTTTTTTTTTAATGTATTCAACACGCAAACTGCATTTTATATTTCAACATGAATTCTTTGTTTTCAATGAATAATAAAATATAATAATAAATAATAAAAATTACTCACCAGTTAATATCTCGCCGTTGCGATTCTTGTTGGCTCCAAACGCACCGTTATGGTATTAATCAGCACTCAGGATACGACTGGTCCGGACTGGTCTCTCACATCTTGAACGAAACACCATGTGATTGCCCGACACGATACAAAACTCACAACACTCACGGCAATCCCGACACTCCCGAAATATACGTAAAAAATCGAAAAACTGGCATTGATGCTTGATTTGACAAGCGCGATATCCGACACGGCGCGATTTACTTTACGAGATAGGATTAGATAGGTTAGAAAGTTTGGTTAGATTGCAATCATACGCGCTGATTTATTCTCCGTGACGATCGCTTGTTGCTCGATTCAACACTCCCGGCACTACCGAGATACATGTAATATGATTTTACTATCGAAAGACCAGCAATACGCGCCATTTTTAACACTACACGATAATTACTTGTTGCTCGATGCGACACTTTTGAAATATGTACGTTCCGAAAAAACGGATGCAACTTCATACCGACGCTCAACGATTCAACCATAACAAGTAATATTCGACGCGATGCAACAGACTGGATTTTATGGATACCGAAAGACTAGCTATTCTGATCACGCACACGCAAGCTAATCAACACTTTACGACGATTACTTGTCGCTGGAGATTTCTGAAATTTGTTTACGCGCAACGTTTATTCCGAAAAACTCGCACAAAATACACACCGACGCGCACTTGCATCCGATACCTTCGCCATTTTCCTAATTGCTGTGACACTGTTGCAACCACACTCCGAAAAATAACGGTACAACTTTACGTCGATGACACAACGTGACGAATGTGATTGACTTTGCAACTATCAAAAGATTAAAATAATGCGATTCTGCGCTAATCACGACGATCGCCCGTCGATATTTGTTGTCAATATTTCGAATGAGAAAAAACACATACGAAATACAAGACCTCACGCATTTGGTACCCCTGCCGCCCTATGAATTTACATAAGACGCGCAAACTCACTTATGATAAATGCGCGCCGTCACGTGGGTCATTGTTCGGCACAATTATTGGACATTAGTGCACGGTGGCCCCATCTTCCGAATTTCTTATTCATACCATGTACTATTTACTACACATAGTTTCATATCTAGAAGATCGGATTCATAAAATGGTAGAAGTGTCGGACGCAAGTGAGCATCATCCTTTGTTTCTCGTAAGTTTTTTGTCGTTCAAAGTAAATTAGTGTGTAAACAAATCTCAAAAATATTAAGTCTAGCGGATGATCATCGTAGAGTGTTTGTTAGTGCGCGCGATCGTGATTATTTACCTTTCAGTATTCGTAAAAGCAATCGCCGTTTGTCGCGTCATATTGTCGAGTCATTAAGCATCGGTGTGAAGTTGCTACCGTTTTCCATATTTTACACGTATCACAAAATGTCGGTGATTTCGGGAGTGTCGAATTGAGTAATCGAGCATTTATAATTAGCGTTTATAATCGCGATTCAACCTAACCTAATCTAACCTCGTACCTTGTAACCTTGCGATCTGACCGTCTTTAACGTTAATAAAGCTCATCGCATACATGTGTTGTTTTGGATATCACTCTACGACTCTCCGAGTATTTTCATATGTGTCAACCAGTCGTATCATCAAAGAGTAGTGTCATATAAGTATATTCTTGGAACAGCGATGGAGTCAACGGATTCCTTCAGCCGGAGTTTACCAAATTTACTCACATTGGCTGGTGAGTAAATTTTAATATTATATGATCAGATTATGTTAAACAAGCATCACGTGACACGTTGGTTACCATTATATATATGAGGATGATATATTAATCTTAGAAACATCTTTGTGAATTAAACAGAAAAAAATATATTATTTTGTTGCATTGAATGCAACATTAAGTGAATTTTTTTGGCTAAACAATATGCATACCGGCGACGTTATTCAACTTGTCGCTTATACAAGATATTTTTTATATTTTTTATTGAAAATATGTTTGATATCTTTTTCTTTGCTGAAGCTTTTAGAACATTATAAGTATGAAATTATTGATAAAACATTGACAAATAATGTTTTATAGTAATTGTCTCATTCAGCAATATGTCATATATAATTCTATCTACTTTGTGCATAAGCGCCGACGCATTGTTAATAATGCAATACGTGTACATTGATAACTGATGTAGATAACATTTTTTTCTTCCGTTCTAGTTGTGGTTTCATGATGGAATTGTGTTATCATATGCAAATCGTGTCACTATGCACTTGTATATGTAATAAACTACGCAAATATTATGTTCCATTCGTATTAATGTAATTTATCATTTCTTGAATATTTGTGACTTAGGCTAGGACAATAGTACTTGTCGTGTGGCTATACATTCTTATAATTCTTATTACTCAAAGAATATGTAAAATTCTTATATATTATTCTTGCGGAAAAGAAATATAATTTATGAGCGCAATAAATTTTCTTCATAGAACAATAATTATCACTTAAAATTAATTAAATTTGTATATAATCAAGATGAACTATATTCAGAAAACAATAAATTACATTAATATATGTGATGCCTAATATTATCATGTAATACATATATATTTGTATTGTGTACATAGATTTTTCTTTGCAATTCTTTACAATGCATATGAAACGATTGTTAATATATATGCAGTGATACTTATATTGAAGAATAGATTACATAATACAGATTGTAGAGTTAACAATGACCGTCTACTGGATTAAAGTTAAATCAATCCTGGAAGTCGTATAATGTACTTTCGAGAGCGATAGGGGAGAATGTTAATTAATGGCCGCAAGTTGGTGCAACATCGGACTTGTGCCACTGCAGGTGTAATACGCAAGTGCCTAATGTAGAGAACTTTGGTAGGGCTGGGTATCGCGAGCAGACGGAGTCAGTTAGAATTGAAGGAACTTTTCGCCGAACGATAAACCGATTTGGCGAGCTGACGCTAGTTAGCCGGACACGAGACAGCCATATACGCGCTCGGCCCATTATCCTGTTTCGGACGCGACTGTAATTAAGCCTGTTTCGAAGGATTAGCGCGCGTGCACGCAGTGAAATGTCCTCTCAGAGGCGAGTTATCTTTCTTTTTGACCGCGGCTCCATTACGGTTTGAAATGACCGGCTGTAACCCCGAAAAGGAGTGCGAGTCGAGATTATAAGTTAATTGCACAAACCATTGTCGTTGATTACATGTGAAATGTGAGCCGAAAGACTTCTAATGATTGACTTATAAATATTTATTTAGAAAAATTCTATTATTACAGTATTAATACAAATTTTCCATAATTTCTTCATAGATTGCGTTTGCAAACGAAATTTTGATTATATTTTTTAATCTAAAAATTAAATTTACATTTGCAATGTCAAACCTTGGTGCACTTTGCTTTGTTTTCCGATGCTGTGCTTGGTGGTGTGGCAAACAAGTGCATAGTGGTAAGGCGCGCTCGCACTCGGGGCTCTCTTTTTTTCTAAATTGTATCTATTGGCTCGAAGCGATTGAAAGTAATTGAATGAAGCGGCCGGTTATTTATGAACGTTTAAGCGGAGCCAACTATCTGTCCATTCATTCGGTCTTGTCCCTTCATTCATTCATCATTCACTCTCGCCGGTGTACGGCCGTTGCATGTATAGCAGTAGTAAAGGCCCATTCAATTGATCGGTGATTGTCTAAATTATAAGATTGCCATACAATGGCTCTCATCTCGACCTATTGGGGTCCCGTTCGCCCGTTGCGTCACCACTTTAGGACCGGATCGCAAGCACGATCGCATTAAAAGTGTACCTACGAAATCGGTCGATGCTCTCGCTCTCGATAGGCAGGAAGATCCGCGCTCGATTGCGCTGAATGTACACCCGCTGATCGCGAACGTTTTACACTCGAGTGTGAGGGGAAAGTCACGTTGCGGGTACTCATTCATGGAAACCACTGGTCACCGTGGTGCACCGAGACTGGATTAACCATCTGCTGTTGGCAACACGGTGACACGTGGGAAATCTATATAATGCTTGCTCGTACATATATATGCTTCTCGAATTTTTTACGATCAAGAACTATTCTGAAAATATTTTCATATCGTAAACTATCAACTATTTTTATTTGATCACGATGCTTTTTCCGAGGAAACTTTGATCTTTATACATTTAGATCTAGATTTGATCTGTCTATATGTTCTAACATATTTAATATTATCTATTTTATTAATTTTTCTAAATTGTATTTTTTTAACACAATAGAATCAAATTAAAAATTTAAAATTATTTCAAAGCTATATTAATAATGAGTGATCGATAAAAGTTATTATTTTTTGTTGCCACTAAAATATCAAGACTCAAATAATTTTACAAATTCTAATAATAACATGACAAGCGGCAAATAGATTTGCCGGCAGGTTTCGCGGCGATTGTTCTTTCTTGAGGTCGATGAACATTTCGCCGAGACCGTTTTACTGTCGACCGAATGCAGTCTCGTAATTTTACAAGTTAGTTCGAGTTAAATCTCATGCACCGATTTGTAAAAGCTTAGTGTTGTTTCCTTTGCACGCTTCGTTGTTTATGTCTCGGTAAGCACTTTTCCTGATCACGTCTTTCGAGAAGAACAATTGGAGAAATGTTTATCGAAACTGTCGCTTTGCTACAAATTACTACCGCATACTTGTCCCTCTTGTTGCGTTTATGATAGATAAACAGCTTCGTTGGGAACATTCTTGACAGGTACATTTTTTCTTTAAAATGGGATGTTAACTTAATTATCGTAAACATTTATTTTTGATTATTTTTTATCGAATATGCCGATATCACATATATCATCGCATCAAATATTAACTTGAATTATATATTTAGAAAAATGTTACGTGAATCTTTTTAAAATTTAATGGACGCGTCACACCGCTTTGTCACTTCGTTAACTTTTCCCTATCTTTAGCGTGAACTTTATCATTCGAGTGCATCTTTAATTTAATCGAAAATACTGAAAGAAACGTGAAAGTGTCGATCGTAATTCGATCGCATGAATATATGTATACATAATTGTATAAATTTATATGTTATAATCTGGAATATTTCTATTGCAATCCATCGAGGATCATAATATAATTAATACGTTAAGCTCGGTTGTGTGTGATATTTATTGAGACACTTGGCGGATTTTGTAACCGCGTTACAGCGCATTGAGCCCTGGCTTTCCTCCGTTAAACTCACCTGCGTCATTCGATTCATACATACGCCGGCGCGATACGAGATACAGCATAGTTTGGCGTATCTTGGAGCAAATCGTCAGGGCATCGCGATGCAGATGATGGCGGTGTAAAATTTATCGCGGTATCGCACAATCGCGTTTACAGCGCCCGGAGTTTCTTCTTTTTCAGGCGAGCGCCGCATGCAATCACGTGATTCGCAGACATACTTACGTGCCCGCGAAAATTTATCGCAGCGCGATGGGCGTTACTTGCAAAATGCGCCGGCAATCGATAACGACCGGCGGCATGCACGACGATCGTGTTATATCGAATTTCTGTCTTGTTCCGCGCGTATCGCAAGGTCTATCTGGTTTCCAAACGGACGAATTCGTGCAAACTTTCTTCACACCCTGTGTGCCGATCCGGTGCATGCCAATTGGTTAAACAAATTTAATTTAGCTCCATTTGCAGACGCTTATCTGAAATCATATTACAATAAGTCCAATTCATATTGCATCATAGATGCTTAAAATTGAATAATATGTCGCGTTCTTCAACATCGACGACTTCTTTACGATTTTAAATATTTTTCTTTTGTTCAGCCGCGATCGTGTTTGTGTTAACTCGTGCAATTGCGCGAGTTCGATCTCTCGAGTTTGATTTTTCGAACGCGTGAGCTTTGCGCGATCTCTCTGTGGAAAAAAAGAGGATACATTGGGCAAGTGCAGCGAATCGTTACGCGCGTAAATGTGTGCGCGAACATATTTCTCTTATTCTCTTTTGTCTATAGCGGCGCGGTTGCTCGTGTAAACGCTCATAAAGCAAAGCGATTTTCGAACACTTCGGTGTTCACCATGCCTCTCCGCCGCTCTCCACCGTCGAAGTTATCTGTGCATCGGCGTGAGTATACGCTAAGTACGCATAAGTACACCACTGAGTATACACATATCCAGCGGCGCGTACAGATGCGTACGTATATATGCGGGCACGCATGTATTTGCGCACGCCGCACGCGTTCGCCCGTATGTGTGTTACGTACGTGTATATGTGTATGTGTGATTCGCTCGACGATGTGTGTACCTAGCAGAACCGAGTATTAAGCGGATACTTGCGTGCGGCCGTAAGTAGCTCTCGTTCCGACTCCCTCTGTATATCCGCTCGCTGCAGCGGCCCGCTTGCGCGCCTCTGATTCTCCGCGGAAGCGTTGCATTGAGACCAATCGAATAGAAACTAATCCAATACGAATGACTGCGTCGCGCGAAACGCGTTTGGTGCGATCTCGAGAGTTTCCGGATTCGCGGAGTGACAAAATTTTTAGTCGATCGAATTACACGGTGAGTTTCGTAAGGTCTTTATCGAACTCTGTGCAAAAGTTTCTCAAGTAGAAGTAATGTGGGAAGTCATCGTTTACTGTCACTAATTTCTATCTGATGATTTGATATTAATTGCGGTAATTACGTTTTGAATTGAGTTCTTGTTAAATTTTAGTACACGTGAAATTAATTCGGAAACAAGATTATTATGCAATCTATTTG